GAAAAGAGAATCTGTGACATTGGAGTTTGAGGATCTGGAAAGACACTCCCTGTCGCACCCTGCTAATCACACCCCTTTAAAAAGCCACCTCTATTCCCTAAAGACTGTCTTTGATTGCTGAACTGTTAAAATAATTATTTCAACAAATAGCCATTGGTCACCTCCCCACTATGAGGCACACAAGCCCAATGAGATGGGCGATGGGCACTTCAGGTTACTCCCATTGGCTATTAACATCACCTCCCTGCACCCCCCAATCCTTTAGAACCTTCCATTCGGACACAAGAACCTAACTCTAGCCTCTCTTTCAAGGTATGCTAGTCAGCTTTCTGTCACTGAGAAAAAATACTGAGTTAATTAACTCATAAAGAGCAAAGGTTTGTTTCCGCTCACGGTTTCAGTCCATGGTCCCTTGGTTTTGGGGCACATGGTCCCAAGGCATCAGGGCACAAGCACATGGAGGAGAAGGCTGTTGAGCTTAAGGCCACTAAAAAGCAGAGAGAGAAAGGGGCCAGTACCCGCCTCAAGGACATGCCTGAAATGACCTTACTTCTTTCCATTAGACCCCCACGTCCTACAGGTTCAACTATCTCCCAATAGAGCCAAAAGCTGGGGACAGAGCCTTTATTTACCACCTGGGCTTTCTGGGGACATTCTAGATCCAAACTATAGGATGCATAATTAGAAAGGGGGTCTATTTTGACTCTTCCTCCTTGGATCAATAAACAGATTGGCAATTCTACACCAGTTGTACAGGCAGCTTCCCCACCTCCCCTGACTTTGGCCTTGGCCTCAGGGCCAGAGCAGGATCCTGGCCTGCTAATAGCACTTGGAGCTTCAGCCCTGTCTCTGCAGGTGGGAGCAGCAGACTGCACTCACCCCGGGTGACTGAGTCCAGACACCTGCTCCTGCGCACAGTGGAAGCCTCCACCCAAGCCCTTGGAATGGTGACTTCCCATCACTAGGGGGTCTCCTGACAGTGGCTAGGGGCTGCCCATCTTCCCTGAATCCCATCCCTCTCTTGCAAAAGCCGTTTGCACGGTTTCATAATGATTAATGCTGAGGCTCTCTTTCCACTCTGTGGAGATGCCTTTTCATGCTGTGTGCTCACAAAGGGCTCAGCCATCTGCAGTGGACCTGAGCGGAAATGGGGGGAAATGACCGTGTGTTTATTTATGTCATCCATTGTTAGCTAAGAATATCTAGGTGTTCTAATAATGGAGGTACCAAGAAAGGAAAAAGTGTTGAGTGGTGGGAAGGATGCTGGGTTCAGGATTCAGACAAGCCCCGCAGCTGAGTTGAGTGACCTTCTGCAAGTGACTCTAGTTCTATGGCCTCAGTTTCTTCCTCTGAGGAAAATAAAATGAGCCAACCAGTACTTGCCCTGTAGACCTTAAGGAGATGTGATGAGAATCTGATGACAGGATGTAGGTGCATCCCACGTTTCCTCGGGCCCAGCAGTCAGAGGGACAACGAATCCACATGAACAGATGTCCCTATCTTGTGCCTTCAACCTAATGACACAGGGCTAACAGCAACCTGCCCCACAACCCCCAAAAAAGTTTCACCAGAAATATTGTTTGGAGCTCTTAGGGGTGTCTCAGGAGAATCCCGACACAATCTTTTCTCTTAAGTCACTGCCTGTGGCTACCATCTCCCCCAGGAAGGAAAATGGATCTTGGGGCTCACAGAGCTACAAAAATCAAGAGGTGTCAAGATGATCTGTCTCCTCTCGACACCTACCACCAAGCAGATAGATACCTGGAGACTGGGACATGGCCAGGAATCCAGGAATACCCATGCTTTAGGCTCAGGAGAACATCATTGCCCAGAGGTGGGACCCCAGGCTGAGGACTTCATGCATGTTTCCACTGAATGCAAACAACTGCCCCGAGAAGGAATTGTCCTCTTCATTGTTTTACCAAATCACATAGCTAGTAGTAGTAACTGGTAGAACCATGGGGTAGACATTCGGACTGCTTAGGAAACAGAGAATAGATAGTCTCTGCGTTCTTCTAGAAGTTTCAGAGTTGCATGGCTTTCTTTTTCTTCTTCTCCCTCTCCTTCTTTTTTGGAACTCAAAGCCTCAGGAATGCTAGGCAGGCACTCTACCACTGAGCCACATCCTCAGCCTGCCTAGTTTTCAACCTATGGCCAACTCAAGTTAATTTTTCTACGTGATGGAAAAATAAGAATCAAGGTTCTTTCCCTTTGTATATAGATGCTCACTTGTGGATATACTTTTTATCTGGAGGGAACATCAAGTGGAAGGAAGTTTCCAGTACATACTACAGAAAACACAAATGAAGGAAAGGATAATCTCCTGCTCCTTCTCTCTGGTTGCTTAAAACTTTGACACTTTAGGGAGAAAAGCCAAGGCATAGGTCAGTTAGGGATTATATGAGGTGGCCATGTAGCGTAGTGACAAGTTGGTGGCCTCTTCACTCTGCCTTACCTCTTTTGTATCTAGCCCCAGACAGTGCCTCCCAACTGCCCAATGATTCTATAATCACTCACCGATTGTCACATAAGTTCCTTCTCTGCTTCAATTAACCAAAAACAGCTCTATTTGCAACCAAATTCCCAGCTGCAACGAGGCAGAATTCCAACCAGGCATCTCTTCCTGAAAACCCCATGTGCTTTCTAAAATACTATTCTCAGCGCTCTGTTACAGCTTATACACATATAGTATTAGTATTACAATGCATTAAATTGGACAGTATCCCAGTGAGATGAGTGACGGGTGATGGTGATCCTAAAAGAAAGCGAGCACAAACCATGGAGGTCATATGCTCTGAATCTACAGACTCAGAAATGCTTGAAAGGAAAAGAGCTCTGCAAGCCAGGAAAACAAGTTTAAATAGGAAGCACCAGCTGGGCGCTGGGATTCCACCACCTGTTTTCCAAAGGACTGGATTTGGTTGTGATTTTTTTTTTTTCAGTCCTATATGTTGGTGGATGATCATAGTCATAGAACCTAGAATTTTAAATCCATGACAGACCTTTAAAATCAGCTGACTTAGCCTGATACAGTGGCAACTGCCTGCAATCCCAGCGACTCAGGAGGCTGAGGCAGGGGGATTGCAAGTTCAAGTTCTGCCTAAACAACTTAGAAAGACCCTGCCTCAAAATAGAACTTAAAAAGGGAATGGGGATGTCACTCAGTGGGATTTCCCTCTGGGTTCAATCCCCAGTTTCACACACACACACACACACACACACACACACAAATCACCTGATGTACTTGCCTCATTTCATAAATAAGGAGACTGGTACTCAGGTAGGTTAAAAACACAGGTAGCATTACACAGCAAGGCGATGATAAATGCAACCTTGACATTGGCTGCATGGGAAAGGAAGATAAAAATAGTTCAAAATCAGAGGGAAGCAGGCCATGGGGGTGCATACCTGTAATCCCAGCAGTTTAGGAGGCTGAGTCAGGAGGATCACCAGTTCAAACCAGCCTCAGCAAAAGCAGAGCGCTAAGCAACTCAGTGAGACCCTGTCTCTAAATAAAATACAAAACAGGCTTGGGGATGTGGCTCAGTGGTCAAGTGCCCCTAAATTCAATCCCTGGTACCCCGGCAAAAAAATCAGAGGGAACCCCTCTTACACAGGGAGCAATTAGATATTAGTTCAATTAAGAAGTCAAATTAGGAGTTGGGGTTAGTTCACTGGTAGAACACTTGCCTAGCATGCACAAAGCCCTGGGTTTGATCCCAGCATTGAAAAGAAAAAAAGGAAAGGAAGAAAAAGGGAAAAGAAAGAAAAGTAATATTGCAAGCTTATTCCAGTCTTTGTGAAATCCCAGACCCATTATCAAACCCAACCCCCTGAGATGCGCCCACTCTTTTCTATGTTCCTATTGAAGAACCTCCAGATAAATGTCACCTCCCAAGTTCCCCAGGATGTTCCTAAGGCACATATTCAAGAAAATGAAGCACCCCAGAGTGAGGTGTATATGAAGTTGTTCTCCAAAATGTACTCTTTCCTGCCGTCCACATGGGCTTCCTTACTTGTGTTCTGTGGATGGAATGAGATGCTCAGATACCCCTTCCCAAGTTGATGCCTGCCCAGGCAGCCTCTTAACTGTGACTCATTTCCTTTGCATCTTGTCCCAGCCACATGTTTGGTGTCACGGTGTTGCAGTGTTATCTTAGAGATGATCCCTCTCGTGACCTCGTAAGAAAAAGGATGCTAAAGAAACTCCAGAAGAGACCTAAGGACCCTACTCTGATATTGTCACACAATCAGACAACCATTCTGAATACAACTTAAGGAAAAACTTTCCTTCCCCAAAATACATTTTCTTTTTATGCAGTTCTGGGGATTGAACTCAGGTGCATTTGCCTGTTTTATTTTACGTAGAGACAGGGTCTTGTTAGGTTTGTGGAGGATGTCCTCAAACTTGAGATCCTCCTGCCTCAGCCTCCTGAGTAGCTGGGATTACAGAGGTGAGCCACCACGCCCGATTAATTTTAATTGACACATAATAATTGTACATATTTAAGGGGGCAGAGTATGATAATTAGATACACATATACAATATATAATGATCAAATAAGGATAATTAACATTTTCCTCTCTTTACATTTATCATTTCTTTGTGTTTGAAACCTATGAACTTCTCTTCTCCAAAATTAATATTTTCTTAATTGGCTCTAGAAGTTAGAGAACCAATCAGCTTCCCCCAAAGGAAGATCCACCTCTCCGGCAGGTACTAGAAGCCTATAGTCTTAGGCTTTGTGGTCAACCAGGGAACAGAGGCCCCCACCCGTAAGTGCACTGCAGTGCCAATCTTAGGGATAATGAGGTCACTTAGTTTGTAATGATGTGAAAAATTCTCCAAAATCTATCAGGGATGCAAAAACCAAGCGTGCCATGACCAGCATGGCTGATAATTCAGAATCCGGACAAAGGGCAATGGGGGATGGAGAAAAGACAGACAGACATAGAGAGAAGAAGCTGAGGCCAGGTGGGTAGTTGACTCTGATGGAGTTCGACTGACCCAGAGCTAGTTCAGCGTGTTTATTTTATAGGTTTTAACATCAAAAGGTTGTTTGGGGAAAGTTTCGGGAAAGCAGACAATCTGAAGGATGCAGGACTGGTGAGACATTAGGGTTATCTTGTTATGCTCAGAATTGTCTATCCCTGGGAGCTGGTGCCTGAGCTCAAGGTCCCAACTGATGTAACTCTGACCCTTTGTGCAGAGTTTCCTCAGGCCAGGGCCACCATAGCATCTAGGCCATCTCGACCTTCACCTTCACACAGGAAGTTCCCAGTGCAATCACAACTACAAGAGAGTTAGAAAGACCATGATTCAAATCACCACTCTCCATGCAAGAATTTGATCACATGCACATAGAAAATTTAGCAAAATACACAGATAACTCTCGGTCTATGTATTTCACTTGAGGCAACTCATGTGAAAAGAGACACACATGAAACTCTTAACAATGTTTGCTCTTGGGGCCAGGATTGGAGTATCAAGGAGGGAAAGATGGGGGGATTTCTTGCTTTTCACTTAAAACATCTTTGTAATGTTTATATTAATAATAACAACCCAAAATGAGCATATGTTATCTTTATCATTAAAAAGAGAAATAAATAAAATATATATATATTTTTTTTAGGTGTAGATGAACACAACACAATGCCTTTATTTTTATGTGGTGCTGAATCGTCCCACCCGTGCTACACGAGTGCTCTACTGCTGAGCCACAATCCCAGCCCCAAGAAAAAAAAATTTTTTTTTTTTAAAAAGTGTAGTTTTCTGGGCATTACCTCCCAGACTTGGGGTGAGTGGAACTTGGAAATCTGTAATATAATTTAATAAGTTCTTCAGACAATTCTAATGTGCAAACAGAGTTAAGGGCCACTGACTGATGAATAACTCTTCCCTGATAACATGTGAGCTGGGAGGAAGGTTCCTGGCGGGTGGGGGGTGGGGTGGGGAATGCCAATGAAATTTAGCAGAACACCTAAGCAGTGTGTCACTGGGGTGCGCACCCTAGGAATAGCCAGTAGGTGCTCAAAAAGTGAAGAAGAGGGACGTGGGGTGGGGGAGGGTAACTTAGTGATACAGTTTGCCTAGCATGTGTGATGCACTGGGTTCAATCACCAGCACCCTTAAAAGGGAAAAAAAAAAGTGTTTAATTGTGAGAAGAGAGAAGAGGAAGGTGGGCCAGGCCCACAGGACCCACATGTCTCCAGAACCAGCCCCATGGGCTCCGTGTCCTCTGGTCTCCCCGCCACCAAACAAGGGCTTGCAACCCACAGGCAAATAAGATATTTGTTTTATTTGGAAGTCTCTAAGTTATGTTTAAAAATAATTCTGGGTTTCTTTCAAAAGGCAGGTTCAGGAGAAACATCTGGAATGAAATAAACCCACAGACCAAAAGAGAAAGGGAAAAAAAAAAAACCTACTCCAACAATGTTATTCTCAACTGTGCCAGGAAAGATATGAATGAGGAAAGAGAGGGGAAGAAACAAACTAAAATGGTTTTAAGAGAGGGTGGAGAAAACCATGGTGTGGGTGGGCCTGGAAGCACTTTGCTCTCACATCTTGGAAGGAAAGAAGTTGCATTTTAGTAATTTTGAGTCCTTCTCAAAAAAGTAATTCTTATGCGTGGTTCTAAATTATACACTGGAGTTAACTCTGAGTAATGACACACAAGATTAGTATATCTAAATCCCCCCTACTTCCCAGATAGGCACAATGCTACATGTCTGTAATCCCAGCTACTCAGGAGGCTGAGGCAGAAGGATGGAAAGTTCCAGGCCAGCCATAGCAACTTTGCAAGACCCTATCTCAAAATAAAATAAAAGAGGCTGGGGATGTAGCTCAGTGGCAGAGTGGTTGCCTAGCATGTGCAAGGCCCTGGGTTCAATCCCTAGAACCACAAAAAAAGGCGGGGGGTGGGGTGGGGGAATGACTGGGATAATAGCAGGAGGGAACTAGCATTGCTGAACATGTGACAGGGGCCTTGCACAAATGTTGACTCTTTATCAGTTCTGTGAAATTGTTTCTATTTCACAGATAAGGAGATTGATTCACAGGGAGGCTCTGCTTCAGAATCAATCTAGCCTGATTCTAGACCAAGTGGGCAGTTGTGACTCTGGATAAGTTACTTAAGACTCTGTATTTCAGGCTTCTTTAAAGAGGAGAGAATAATGGAACCTCTCTCACATGGTAACAATCAAGATATACACTGGAAAGGGCTTTGTAGAGAATTAAGCAATCAATAAACACTAGGGACTATTGTTGTTAAATCTTAACACGTTCAATATCTTGCTCAAATGAAATAATTCTGCACCGAAATAAAATGTGAATCGGGGATTTGCATTATTGTCTTAGCCTCAATACACATCCTCCCTATTCTTTCTAAGCTAAATCTCAAAGATACATAAACAAACATACAGAGATCCCATCCTCCTCCCTCAACAGTTATTAAAGTAGCCAAGGGTTGGATTAGTTGATGTCACCTTCAGGCCACAGGTTTAGTCCAGAGCTTATTGGTCAGTGAGTTGGACTGGTTCCCTATTAACTGCTGCAGCACAAGCTAAGGATGAGGCCCAAGACAATTCTACTGCCAGGGTAGTGATGAGGCCTGAAGCTGGGAACAGGCTGACAAAGGGCTGGAGGAATTGGGCAGCCACAGGCTCTGGTGCAAGGAAGGGGCTCAAGGCCGGGGTATGCTGTCCATGGGCCCAACAAGGGGAACATAGTCAGTCAGGTAGGCTGCAAGGGCAAGTGCCCAAGTCATGGGCTGTGGATAAACGGGAAGGAGGTGACCAGGGATCATGACAGCCAAAGTTGGCCTGGGCTGTGAAGAGTAGATTCTTAGGATCCCTGAAGAGGGGACTGGCTGGCTCTCTAATGAACCTCTGGCCCTGGCCATCTTAGTCTCTCCTAATGAGGGCATTTGAGTTGGGGGATAAGGTGTGTGTAAACAACCCCCATGAAAATGGGAGCCAAGGATGACCATTGATATGCCAGGCACACTGCACATTCTGTCTTAGTTCTCACAGCAGGCCCGTTCTTGCCTCAGAAAACAGGCTCAGACAATTAAACTTGCTCAAGTTCACTAAGAAGTTCGCTAAGAAGCTAAATAGAAATCTGCTTAGGATATTTGCAAAGCAGAAACACCTAAAAAATCTTGTTCTTGGCATAACTCAAAATCTGATTTTCCTAAGAATATATCAAAGAAATCACGGGTGAAAGCATCAGACTTAGGTCCTCAACTGAATGGAAAGAGTGGGAAAGGCACTTTCTCCTCATTTTCTTCTTCTATTTGTCCTTTCTTTGTTTTGGCACTAACCTCTTAGTTAGTCAAACCCACAGCTAAGTAAGTGCTTTACTGCCAAACTACATCCCCAGCCTGTTTTTTTGTTTTGTTTTGTTTTGTTTTTTAAGACAGGTTCCCCTTAAGTTGCTAAGGCTATCCTCAACTTTCAATCCTTCTGCCTCAGCCTTCTAAGTCTCTGGTATTATGGGCTTGTGCTACCGTTGGACGCAGTTTCTTCTCTTTTGAGGGGTAAGCAAGAGTGAGGGAATAACTTTTCCTGGAAGCCCTTGGCAAATTTTCTCCAACATCCCCTGAGCTAGAACTGGGCTGTATGTACCCTAAACCAGTTGCTGGCAGAGTGAACCAGTGTTGTGTTGATTGTCTGAGAAGGACTGCAGTTTAAACTGTGGTGCTAAGCAAATTGCCTACAACATTGAATTCTGTTAGCAAGAAGAAGGGGACAATGGCTGTTGAGCTGGCCATCACTGGAGCTACTGCTGTCCTTCAGAATGCTCTGAAATGTCAGGGGAGCAAAACATGGACTATTCATTTAACCAAATGGCTACGTTGGGTTCAGTGTTTATTAACTATGTTTTTTTTTAAAATAAATAAATATATATGTATGTTTAAATATGTATATGTACATATATGTTTATATACATATACATACATAAATATGTATATATATGTTTAAATATGTAAATATGTATTTGACCCTGATAGAGACTTAAATCCCCTGACATAGGTATGAGAATATGTTCTAACTGAAGTTTCTCTTCAATCCTGTCCCCCCTTCTATCTCCCTCACTCCATTGATCGGCTAAGCCCCTTGTGTCCTGCCTTCCCTCTCGGTCTCCACTTTCCATCTCTCCTCAATTTTCTGATGTCTGACTTTGACCCACTGTCTCCCTGTCTGGCAAAGATTCTGAATATGGGTATCAAGGTCCCCAATCCCTTGCATACTTTTCCACCTACAGTTTACTTAGCTCCATGGAACACAATGTGGCCTCCAAACCATGGCTCCCCTTCCTTGGTTCCTAGCACCTGCTTTCCCCTCGTGTTCTTCTGGGATCTCTGGCTACTCAGTCTCCAATTGGTCTACTTCAGGCAAATATTCCCATATGTTGGGTTTAATTCCCCAGGGTTCTTGCCTTTACAGTGGTCTCCTCTTATTTACAGGGGATATGGGCCAAGACTTTCTATGGATGCCTGAAACTGCAGATAGTACTGTTATCTTGTATATAACGTCTTTTCCCACATGTACATATAGCTATGATAAAGTTTAACTTATAAATTAGGCATAGTAAGAGATTAACAATAATAGTGAAAAATAATAAAGTAGAATAATTATACCAATATAATAAAAAAATCATGTGAATATAGTCTCTATCTTATTGTACATTGACCTTTTCACCTAAAAGAAACACTGTATGACTCTTCTTTGGTATTTCTAAACTGTCAGCATCACTGTTCTCACACTTGGGGGTCATTAGTAAGTAAAACAATGCTTACTTGGACACCAGAACTGATCTGATAACTGATATAACTACTGAGTAACTATGGGCAGGTAGCATATACAGTGTGGATACTCTGGGCAAAAAAGGATTCACATCTCAGGAGGGATGGAGCAAGATAGCCTGATAATTCATTATTCTACTCAGAATGGCATGAAATTTAAAACTTCTGAATTGTTTATTTCTGGAATTTTACTATTTTCAGACCATGATAGGTGGCTGAAACCATAGAAAGTGAAATTGCAGGTGTAGCCATAGATATGAAGGTACTACTGTACTTCTTTTCTTCTCTCTTCACACACTGTCCTTATGCCCTGCACTAGCATCTCAAATTTCTAACTTCAGTACAGGCTGGAGACCTCAGCAACAGGCCTGTATGTTTAACTTAGTTTTGGATGATTCTACCTAGAATCTCCCAGGCACCTCAAGTTCAATTCCTTCTAAACTGAACTCATCCTCCTCTCTTTCAAATATACTCCCTGATCTTTCTG